GATACAATGTTCTACTTGTATTGAACTATGAGGCGAAAATGAAGTATAGAATGTATTTTTCATAACACTGGTCCACTTTCTTTTTGCACGAGCCGACAGATTTTTAGTACCGCTTTTCATATATAATGGCTATTCGACCTGACCAAAAGGGATTCAAAAATAAATTTGATCAGATTAAGAGAGTTGAGTCAAACCCAGAAATTGTAACATCAGCTTATATCTATCTATCTATCTACCTATCTATCTATCTATATATATATATATATATATATATATATATATATATATAGAGAGAGAGAGAGAGAGAGAGAGAGAGGGAGGAGAGAGAGAGTGATATTAAATATATTAAAAAAAAGCTTATATCTATCTATCTACCTATATAGATATATATATTTAAAAAAAACAACTGTATTAAGCGACCCATTTTCCATACGTACCTGACGACTTGGGAAACCATGAAACTTCAAGTTTCATTACAAACGAATGTATATTTGTATTTATTAATATATACTTCATTGGCTCAATTTAATGACACTGGATACTGTTTTGTTTCCACCATAAATTAAGTTAGATAAATATTTATTTGCTTATCTGTGTATGCACGCTATTGCATGCATATGTAGTAGCAAATATCTCGTTATTCTTGTATATTCACACATACACACACAAACACACACACACATATATATATATATATATATATATATATATATATATATATATATATATATATATATATATATATGCAATAATTTTATCATATAGACAAAACCATTTTTTCAACTGCACTTCGACGGTTTGGAATCGATTCTCACCGGTCGAAGTGCAGTTGAAATGCACTGAAACTAAGTTGCATCTTTGTAGTGAGTAAAATGGTTTTGTCTATATGATAAAATTATAATAAATAAAATAATTATCGCTCTTCTATCGGTATCGAGCCCTCTTTTGGATTAATGCTGTGAACGTTGGAATTTATACATTACTTTCGTTCTCATCAGATATATATATATATATATATATATATATATATATAAGGAAGGATGAGCGTTGCCCCACAGCTTCTTGAAAGCTGAGTGTACGCACATGATTGTTTGTAGTTAGGAATAGCTTGCACAAAATATGTGAATTCTCAGAATCCAACTTTGGCCCAATGACAAGATAATTGGAGACTACTCATGCCGAATACGATTTGAGTCGTTTCATATTAAAACACAGACCGGTTAGTTAATGTCCGAATTATAACACTGTGTTATGCAATTGTTTACAGTACCAGGAGTTCCGAAGCGGTCCCATCTAATTACTGACTAGGAAGGTCGTTGCTTAACTTCAATGATCCAACTGAAACCGGTAGTTACTCGCTATTTTTCTATTTTGTTCCTACCTTCAGTATCTCTCTTGAGTGTCCATTTCCGAAGATCAATTTCCTTATAATGTATCTAAGATAGTTCAGTTATCTTTCTACTTTGAAATATACGTGTGCTTTTTAATTCCAATTTTATCCAAAAGAATCAGCAATGTCATAGGTCCTGACCTGGCATCTTGGCTTCTGTCTTTTTCCCACCGCCGTAACATAAATATTTTCTTGATAATTGTTCTGACGAGCTTTCGTCTTTGGTACTTCTAGGTTAGGAATTGAAGCGCAGTACAACATTAGCAGTTTGGTCGCATTAATTTATTGTTGAAACTGTTAAGACCAAACGTAGGATCTAATGGTTACTTCTCTCATAATTATGATTTGTGCAACTCTATTCCAACCTCATGCTTTCCTGCCAACTACGATGTCCAAATATTTAAATGCAACGCCAATCGTCATCATCTATCATTTTGAATCTTGCTCTTTTAATATTCTCTTAATACACAAAGATTTCTATTTTTATTTTACTATCAGTAATCCATTGCATCTTAGTGGCTTTTCTCACCTCGCGGGAAATGAAGTCATGTATTCGGTACAGGTTTTAGCCAGTTATGTATTCTTTTGATCCTGGTTGTCGGAAAAAAAAATGCGCAAGCTAGGAATAACTACAAACAATAGAGGAACACCCCATTCTTATATATAAAGATATTTGGGTCACTAACACACACAAAAAATATTTAACATCGAAAAACATAAAGGAAAAAAATTAATTATTTTTAATATATGGAAACCTCCACGATTTGCCTGATGAAGGTCACGAGACTGGAAACACGTGTAGCAAAATTATGAAAAATAAAGCATAATATTTTTTTTTAGAAAAATCCACATTACAACCAAACACATTTGCGGTTTCTCTCTTCTTTTTAATATACACTTTTCTCTTTGGAACTACTACAACCTCTTTTATATATATATATATATATATATATATATATATAGAGAGAGAGATATGAACACATCATCCTTATATATATATATATATATATATATATATATATATATATATGTATATATATATAGAGAGATGAGATATTCAGGCCGGATGTTATTTAATAGTTTATCATAAACAGAGAGAAAGTCTCATAAAATAAAACGTTAAACATAAAAATAGAACGGATGATGAAGTTTAATGGATAGCGGTTCGGATTGAGGAATTGGAGAGCCGTGCAGGTTCGAATTCAGCCGTATATGACCGTTCCGAATCCATCACCAAAACAATTCAGGTCATTTGTAAATGTTTTTTACGTGCTAATAACCTTGTGAAGGGTATAAATGGTTCCTCCGCCTATATAGGCCTTGAGAAGTAAAAGTATAGACGTATAGGATGAGCGACCCGTCCTCTATTTTTCACCAGGTGAGCGATGAAAACGTATCTATAAAATGGTCTTTAATAAATAAATTGTCGGACCTTGTCCATTTCTTAATATTGACGTCAAGTTCGACGACACATTGGATGGCAAACGATTGGTTCTCAGAGAAAAAAACGGTTCCAACTCTGAATTCAAAACTCAGACATTCAGGCCGGGTTATTTTTGGGCACTTAAATACTTGTTGTTAAACATAAAAATATGTCTTTAATAAATAAAGTGCCCCTTAATATAGGTCATTTGTTTATTCGACCGTTCAAAAAGTGTGTTCGTTTCTGCATAAAGCCTTCACCAATAAAATCAATTCATATGTACACGGTTTGACATTGGCTGTTGTTTTCAGAGCATTTGCTTAAAACTGAGTTAAACATAAAATATGTCTTTAATATATATATATCGGAAAAACTACTAATATTGTTTAAGCCTCACGTCGAGTATATATATATATATATATATATATATATATATATATATATATATATATATATATATATATATATATATATATATATATATATATATATATATATATATATATATATATATATATATATATATATATATTTTCATTTGCGTTAAATATATATATAAATATTATTTTTGAAATCTCCTAAATTTATTTTTAAAGAACTCAGGTAGATAACGTTTCAATAGCTCTCATATATGACAAATGGTATGGGCACCTCTACGTGGTGTAATGGTTAATAAAGCTTTTCTTGCTATATCAGTTACGACTGAGTGGTGAGTTCGATCCTCACTGGGTGCTCCATACTTTCGACCTTGTGCTAAATCTGAGCCACGCTTAGAAAAAAGGGTTCCCTCGAGATGGTGTAATGGTTAGACGAGCTTGTCACGCTAGAGCAATTACGACTGAGTGGTGAGTTCGATCTCACTGGGTGCCTCCTACTTTCGGCCTTGTTCCACATCTAAGCTACGCTTGAAAAATCACTATATGACAAATGGTACTGAAAGTGTATTGGGCCGAACAAGAAGGAACTGGCTGAGTTAGGAAAGTGACATAATATCCTTTACACCACCATGATTCAATGTCGGCGGAACAGACTCTCTCAAGGTTCTGCTTCTCTAAACCTCCGCAAAAAACTGCTGCTTGGTTATTCAAATACTGTTTTGTGGCTGCTTTCACTTCCAAATTGAAGGTATTCTCCCTTTCAGTTTTTTTTTCTTGGTGGGGTTGGAAACAGGAAATTGATGAAACATCAAACTTTCCAAAAAATCCCTCGCCTTGACAGTCATGTGGCCTCTGGTGTTTTCAGACGGATATTCTATAACAGTTCAGTACACTATAGTTTTCCTATTTCTTAATACTTTGCTTAACATTTGTAAGGCATCTTTCGATATCCCAATGAACCTTCTGATTTCGATCCTGCATTTATGCCTCGCGTTAAAATCTTCCCTAGATGTTCATTTTTTTTTCACGGTAAGTTTCATCCTTCACAAGGGCCCTGTCCACTCGAGGCAGAGGATTACCTTAGGAGGCAGTTTGTGAGGATAGGAGTGAAAGATAACGGTAGACCCTAGCCTTGAACATGTTAAGATTGTAATGATCGAAGAAATATCCTCTTAGGAGTTTTTTTTTCTTCTGCAGTGGCTCGCTGTTGAACTAGCTTCTCACCGATGGAATACGGGGTAATGTAATGGTTTACTATTATGTAAGTGGCATACCGTGTCCTTGCTGTGAAGATTTGAATTGTCTGGATCAGTTCCTCCAGGCAGTTTCCGTGGAAATCGCGATATATCAGCGAGAGACTTTCTAAGACTTAGGGATGCTTTTTTGGATTGTATTAAGGCTGGAGAGTGAGGTCTGCGCAGTTTCCATCCATATACGACAACTGTACGCTATTTTTACCCTGATCTGACTCTTGTAAAGCTAGTGGATGGCAGGGAGTCAGGTACTTTACTGTACCGATGATACAGTGAGCCGAGCATTTTACTAGTATCCTTATCAATGGATCGTAAATACGATTTTAACTTGATATCAGGTGTTAAATTTGAGGCCCAATTTTTGTACTTGTTGGATTTTAGTATTTCAAAGTTGTAATTCGCCGTTTATTTTGCTGGCTGCCATATGTTCTGTCTTCTTGGTGTTTAGACATTTTCTTCACACTTCTTTATTACTTTCTGTAGGATATCCTGTAGTTTTCTTTTTTACTGTTTGCTATCAACATCTATATATCTCATCTTGTTAAGATTTGGCTGCCATGAGTGAATCCCGCTATGATGTATTCTGTTTAAATATTATTCTGTTTGTTTCTGCACTTTTTTCTTCTTCTGTTTTCCTCTTTTTTTTTCTTCTCTATCACTCTCTTTCATCTTTCTCTCTCTTTTTTTTTTTCTGTTTCTCTATTTTCGGACTCACTTTTTCACTGTTTCTTTCCTACACTTTCTATATCTTTTTGTTCTACCTCTTATTTCTCTATCTCTTTCTTTCTCCGTTAATTTTCTATCACAATTTTTTCTCTTCCTGTTACTTTCTTTTGCTTTCTCTTTTCTTCTCTATATTTACCTCTTTCTTTCATTTACAATATTCCACTTTTTTCTTTTTCCGCTCTCTGTTCCATCCGTTTCATTTTTTTCTTCTCACTTTTTCTGCCTCTTTTTTTCATTTTTTTTTAATATTTCTCTTTTCTCCATCCCCACTCTATTTTTCTGTGTCTGTCTCTCTCTCTCTCTTTTTCTGCATTACCTTTCCATCTTTCCGTACCTTTTCCTTTCTTTCGCTTTTCTTCTCATTATTTCATTTTCTATATACCTCCTTTTCTCTCCTTCTTTCATTTATTTTATTTTCTCTCTGTTAATTCCCTTCTCTCTTTATGTCCATCTCATTTGGGAATTTTATTTTTCTCACGCAGGCTTCTACTTATATGCGGCGTATCCCTTCAGGACGTTGGCGATCATGGCTCTCCACAACTTCTTGAATTTTGTAGCTCTTTATAAATTTTGCCCTTTTGTTATTTCACCATCCATTCACTCAAGAGCGCTAGGTCGGTTATTCGTTGTTTCAGGCTGTCCTTGTCTCCAATCTGTCCTATGTGTATCAAATTTACCAAACCTTCTTTCCTCCGTATGTATGTTAAAAATGTCAACTGTCTCCACCTGATTTGTAGTATAAGTGTAATTTTGTTTCCATTTTATTCTAAAAGTCATTGCTCACAAAGTTCGATCCATGGTATTCTCATTATCCTTCTGTAGAACCACATTTCTGTTGTTTCATATTCTTCTTCTGTACTCCATGCCATAAATTAAGAGGAATAATATTACATAACAGTTCAGCCCATTTTTCTTGTCTTTAACGAAATTATTCTGTTACTTAATACTTTGCTTATGTTTTAGAGGCATAGTTTTTTTTACCTCAATGCAACTTCAGATTTCAATGTCAGAGTTTCTGTCCTCTGTTAAGACATTTCCCAGATATTTAAATTGTTGTACTTATTTGATTTCGGTATCTCGAATTTGTAATTTGAATGTTGGGCTCTTCCTTTTTGCTATCAACAAGGCATTCCTTCTTTTTTTTTTCTTTCTTTTTTTTTTTTACAATTGATACTCAGTTCTTTCTTGCTTGCTTTCATTCAGAATCCTCTGTATGAGATCCTGTAATTTCCTTTCTGTGTCATTTGCATATCTTACGTTGTTAAGATTGTAGCCACAAATAATGAATCCCGGTAAGATTATTAATTCTCTCAAGATCACCGCACTTTATAGGTTGAATAACTCCGGTGAGAAGACACACCCTTGTCTTACACCCCTTTCTATTTTTGTATATTTACTGAATTCATTTTCTATCCGTATGCCGGCGGCTTGCTGTAAGCATAGGTTCAAGATGATTCTAATATCCTTCCTAAATATCTTAAGCTTACATAGTTCTAAAAGTCTTTGTTGACGCACTTCGGCTTAATTTTTTTTTTTTTTTATGTGCCTTGTCCTTTCAGGACGTAGGCGATCATGGCCCTCCACCTCTCTCTATCCCTTGCAGATCTCAGCAAGCTCCTTCCCTCTGCTTCCTCCCCCAGACCACGTTCTGTCATCCACTTTCTTAAGTTTGCCAGGTATGTCATGCATTATTTCCCTTGTCTCTCTTTCCCTCTATTCGACCCGTGAGTATCAGATTCTCCAGGCCCTCCTTCCTTATTATGTGTCCCAGAAACTTCAGCTGCCTCTTCCTGATGTTAAATATAAGCCTTCTACTTGTTTGCAACCTCTCTATGACACCATCGTTGTTCACACGCTCGGTCCAAGATATCCTTAGCATCCTACTGTAGAACTACATCTCCGTCGCCTCGAATCTCTTCTTCATCTTTGAGGGAATCGTCCAGTATTTGCTGCCGTAAAGAAGGACAGATGTCATGTAACGAATATAAGCAACTTGTGATTTACTGTTGCATAGCCTAATACATAAACTTATGTTTGGATATTTTTAAAATTACGAATGAAAGCACATTCAAACTTTCTAAATCCTTAAAGTGATTTGATATGTAATGCCCTCAATTTTGAAGAGTTTTTTTTTTTGCTAGAGAGAGGGGAGAATCAGATGGAGCGTTGAAAAGAAACAAAGTGTTAGTGAATAAAGAGTGGGAGGGTCAAGTGGAAATTGGTTAAAGCTGTATACAACAGATGCGCTGTAAACGATTTTTTTTAATGTACCAGCGGCTGTTTGAACAAAAACTTGAAAGAAAAATCCTAATAGATATAAATTTAATCAACATGATATGAAAAGTAACGTCCATTAAAAATCGCAGTGCTCATAAACTATATGCCAGGGAAGAACAAATGTTAAAAAACACACTCATATAAATGCACATGTTACAAATACGCTAATATAAATGCATATGCAGATATATACATGCACAAAACACACGCACGCACACACACACACACACACACACACATATATATATATATATATATGTATACACGGGTAGTGATGACAAACTTACCCAATTCCTTATGACCCTAAACACAGTGCACGACTCAATTAAGTTTGAATATGAAAATCCACAACATCAGTAACATTTTAGACACCTGCATTTACATAGATGAAAACAGGAAACTACAAACGACACTACACACTAAAATCACCGACACCCACAACTATCTACACTTTAAGTCTTCCCACCCTAAACACCTCAAAGCGAACCTTCCCCTATTCACAAGCACTTAGACTCAGAAGGATATGTTCCAACAATGAAGAATTAAATAAACACATTGAAAATCTGGAGCATCAATTCACAACACGTGGCTATAAACAACACCCTAATCAGGGAACAAATAAATAAAGCAATTTCCACACCTAGAGAAGACACCCTAATATACAAGATTAAAAATAAATCTAGCCGCATCCCTCTAGTAACCACTTTCAATCCCACTCTGCCTCCACTATCCCAAATAATCAAACGTCGCTGGGAAATACTACATCTCAAACCAGACCTAAAAAAAACTGTTTAAGGAACCCGGCCTTCTGGCATATCGTAGACCTAAGAACCTAAAAAAGAAATCATAGGTAGTAACCACATTTCAGGGGACAAGGTAATCCGTAAGAAACTGAGAACAAAAACAACAGGATTTTCCCAACCATGTAACAACAAAAGAAGTTTATGTTGCAACCATATTAAAAACACGAATTCATTCACTAGCTCAATCACTAAATCTACTTTCAAAAATACCACGATTCTAACTGTAGAAGTCAAAACATAATTTACCTCCTAGAATGCACACTATGCCAGAAACAATATGTAGGAAAATCTGAATGGCCCTTTAACTACAGAATTAATAATTATCGTAAGCGAATTAAATCGACTCCCTATGAACAGTTATTACCTGTAGAACAACATTTCCGCCTAGAAAAACACGATTTCAAAACCCATGCCAGATTCACTATAATTGAGAGAATAGAAAAGTTCAGAGCAGATAACATTAGAAAAATTTTAGAGTCCCATGAAAATAAGTGGATACAACGTCTAAAAACACAATACCCAGCCGGGCTAAATCCACAAATTTAACAACATATAATGGTAACAATCAAATCAAAACCTACCCACATTTCTCACCCACACAAGACAGACATGCTTAAGGAGGAATGGAGGCCTCACACTTATACACTCACCCACACGATTATACACACGTACACACACCATACTCACTCACTCCCTAATGAGCCAAATGATAACACACACCTACAGCAATACACACGCTTACACATATCATACTCACTCACTCCCTAAGAACCAAATAACACACACACAAACACTAAACAGAGACACATCCCTCACCAGGTCAATAAAACTGTCAAACTGACCAGAGAATTCAGGATAAATGTATCTTATCCAGTTCTTATCTCAAATAACAACTTAAAAGAGACTGTTTGACCAACACAAGGAATGTTAAAAGATTCATGTAAAAAGAAAATAAAAAAAAAAAAAAAAATGAAAACTACAGACAAAAGTTCATTTTCTCCAACAAAAGACATTCATTTCTGTAGTTCCTTGCTAACAGCAAGCAGAAATATTTCGCCTCCCGATGATGGCCATTTCGGTCGAAACTAGTCGAGGAATTTAAATGGAATAATAATAATAAAAAAAACGAAAGAATATTAATCTACAACCCAGTGTGTCTAATGATTTTAATTTTTTTTTTTAATTTTTTAATTTTCAATATATATATTATATATATATATATATATATATATATATATATATATATATATATATATATGTATATGTATGTATGTATGTATTTATTAGTAATGTAAACAAAATAAATGCTTGAACTTTTGCATTGAAATATATTTATATAAGGTTTAAAAAGATATAATTCTCCACCCCCACGAACGAAGACACAGTAAATTTACGTGTGTAGGAACTATACAACGAAGCACTTTCAGCTGACAAAATATTTTATTTCTGTTTTATTTAACATAAAAGTGGGAATTACAAATAAATAATGCAATTTAATGATTAATAAAATGATTTCACACTTCATAGATATATAAACATATATATATATATATATATAAAGTCGTATATATATATATATATATAAGTCATGATGTGTATGATATGTATGATATGGGCAGAAATATTTGAGAATATGGTTGTTGAAAAGTTTACAGGTTAATTAAAATGAAATTCTAAATACATTCTGCAGTTTAGTCACCTGCTCAAATTTATATATATATATATATATATTTATATATATATATATATATATATATATATATATATATATATATATATATATATATATAGTGTGTGTGGAAAAGTATGTGTATATAAATATAAATATATATATATATATATATATATATATATATATATATATATATATATATATATATATATATATATATTTATTACTTTATATATGATATGCGCGGTACTTATTAGAAATCGCTCAATATCAGATATAGAGCTAACATATTAGGTTGGATGAGATGTAACAAACTGACGATCGCAAAAGCGTGAAACCCAGGATCACTAACTCCAACCAAATATATATATATATATATATATATATATATATATGTATAGAAAGGGAGAGAGGGGGAGGGAGGTAGAGAGAAATGATGATGAGTGCATTGTTTATAATTTAATATGGCTATGATGGAAGAGTGCACCAAATTGGTTATAGTGCATACATAGTTAAAAAGTTGGGCCAGATGAACCGCTAATACATAGTGAGGATCAGTTTTATGGCTCAACCGATCTTCAAAATACACACACACACACACACACACACACACACACACACACATATATATATATTTATATATATATATATATATATATATATATATATATATATA